AGTTGTTGCTTTTCAATGAACACTTACTTCCCAAACGATAGGAGATAATTGGATAATAGATACAAGCCGGATCATAGCCTGGCTGAGGCTCACAACAACATTAATGATATTGGTACACCACTCGGTTTCGAGCAAGCAAAACTTTCCTCCGCGAAATTCACGTTCGCTGAGGAACGTTTTGCTCGAAACCGAGTGGTGTACCAATATCATCATTAACTTCCCAAATGTGTTGTGTAATTGCAAAAATTCATTTTTCTTAGTCACAATCAATCAGTCAATCAGCATATAATTAGCTTGATTCGTAAGTTGGAATGCGACGTTGAAATGTGGAATGCAATCGAACAAAGCAAATGAGAATGAACAAAACCCGACTTAAACTTTATACAATCTGCACATCAATTTCAGATAAAACAATGTAACAACAAACTTGACAATCTGAATATGTTATGCGCACCACTTAATCCAACAACGAACAAATAAAATGAAACTCAAATTAAGAACACTTATGAAATCAATTCTAATTAAAACTCGATCATGCGTAAAATGATTGATAAAACACACACAAAAACAAATATACGGATATCATCAAATTGAAACATATAAAGGAACGAGATTTGAGACTTTGAATTCACCAATTCACTCATCCCTAAACGATCAAATTTATCGACTCTCTTTCGGTGGAATCACAATCCTTGGTTTGACCATCGAGCTGGTACGCACCGACGAATCCTGAAACAATACACAATCACTGCTTAAAAGTGCTACCACCTACTTCTACATTCGAAGAAAACCCAACATTCTTCGACATCACAACCTGAAAACTACGTTCGATTACGCAGTGAGAGCACTGCACTTTCAGATAGCCTGATTTTGTCTGATTACGCACAAATCTTAGAATGTGAACGATAACATAACAACGGCCACTTTCATACTGTTACGAGGATAACTCCTCACATTCTTTAAATAATCAACACCAACAAGCTCACCTTATGCACTTCGTATCGAATCGGCTCACTGTCCGGTATTTCCAGTGTGGCCTTCAATATTTGCCCGATGCGTAAGTTGACATCATCTTTCAATGAATCACGGGTCCATAATGATACCTGAAGGGAAATACTTTAGTTGATGTATTAAAGAAACAAATACTTAAACTTACAATTAATAACACTAAAAACGAATGCGAATAACTAATCGCTTTATTAATTCAAAAAACAGAACGATACCTATAGCAGTATCCATAATTAAAGGGAAATATAATAATAAAAATACTAACATAATAATAAGGTTAACGAGAAAAACAAAAGCAGCCAAGAAAAATCAAGAAACCAACTTTGTCGCCTTTTTGACGAACATTCACGACAGCACCGCANATATACTCTCCATGTTCTTCAAACTGTTCGCCGATGATTGCCATTAGAAGTTCCAACCAGTAGTGGTCGAGCAGTTGTGAACGTTTCTGCTTTTCCACTTGAACCAGCCAACGACCACCTTTCACGTTGTTCTCGTCTTCCCACATCGGTTTGATACCCTCCTTGAAGAGGTAATAATCACTGCCCCAAGTCAAGCCCGATGCTGGTTGAATATGATTGTATAGTCTGCAATATGGCATCGCGATCAACCTTCAAGTTTCATTCATGCAAATTCACTAGTCTATTAACACTTCTCCTTCATGTAATCACAAAACCACACAAAACGTACGCCCAAAAATCTTCGACTGAAGCGAACACGGCCACTTGCTTCAGACAATCTTCCCAATCTTTACTACGATCCGCCTTCAGGTACCATAGAGCCCAGCGGCAATGAAGTGGATGAGGCGGTGCCTCTTTCTGAGAGGATTTCGTTGATGATTCCTCCACTTCGGATTTCTGCAACTGCTTCTTCTTTCAAAAAGAAATCGTTGAAAGAAAGAAAAGAAATTTTGGAGATTTTCAAAAAAAGCTCGAATGGATATGCAAAAAGGTCTTCATTCAAAACGTAACATTCACCGATTTCGATAAACTTTACGCACCTTTCTCAAACAGTGTCAATAAAACCAACCTCAGCGGTCGTTTTCTCGGAGTCAGTGGCAGATGTGGTCGTTTCGGCCAGTGCTGAGCCTGTCGTGGCCGGTGCTGCCTTCTCGTTTGCCGTCTCGCTGCTGTCTGCCAACGCCATTTCGTTGAGTTCGCTCGTCGATACAAACTGAATCCTTCTAGATTCACCCTGGAATTCACTTGAAACTTGGCTCAAACAATCAATTGATGAACTCTTAAACACTCCACCAAATCACATTCGTGAACCAAATCCGCACAAAAAACGCCTAATTATGAATGAACCCACAACGACTTCATCAAATGCAATCTCACAAGTCCTCAACGACGGTAATAAAATCAATCCAACTGATTGTGAGTCAATAAGGATCGAGATTTGCTAAACATCAATCAATTTCACATGAAATAACTCTAGTTGTGACCTCAACATGACTAATCTTCAGAAGAAAAACTCTACGAAGCAGTTTATGTGTACCACTAGATAAGAAATTCTGAACGGACAAAAAACTAAAAATTCTCACTCTCATGCTGAATTCAGTAATTCAATAAAACAAAACGTCGAATAAAAGTTACACGCGTAAAACAGTTTCCTTCAAGTTTTTGCCGAACAAGTTGAGTGTTTAAAAAGTGAACGCGAATGGATTTCAATCGAAATTCATCGAAAACATCGATATATTTTGCGAATCTACGGCATTATGACACGGGCACATGTTATATTCAAGAGTATTGCGATGATGATGATGATGAAATACTTTCGTATAACATCGTATCTCTTCCGAACCAGTCATATTTTAGATAAAACAAATCGAAACGCACAATTGAATCTATTAATTATGTGATGGATTACACGGCTGCCGCTGAACAAATTAAAAAGTGCAATACGACGACGGCTGGCACAACACCAGTTTTCGAATGTACAAAGCTGAATAGTGCATTACAGCACCATATATGAAACAACCGCATCTAGCACTCAAGCCTACTGTACCCTCAGCTTTGACCAGTAACATATTAATTTCTT